TTCCTAAATTCATGTATTACTTTTTTGCTAATGAACTGCATCTCAACAGTTGCAGAAATTACACTCAGACTTATTCTTCAGGGTCAAAACTATGAAACTTCACCCTCCTGTGAGAAAAAATACATTTGCAGTCTACCTGCCTTAAAGAAATATTTAACTTCTCCAAAGACAACTCCCATGAAAATTAATGTATACAAAAGAGTACATGCTGTGTCACTGGTATATATAAATTTACCTTTGAGTCACTGAGTGTTTATTTGCTCTTTTGGTATTTCGAGGCAGTTCAAAAGAAATACTCCTGCCTTTTCTGCATGAGAAGTGATCCTGCAGTCATTCCTGTCCTTGAAAGGGTATCTTGACTTAATGCTGCTCAAAAACTCCAGATAGCTAGCTAACTGGTTTGCCAACATTCCCAGATTCTTCCTCCTCAGGATGGTACAGACAGACTCAGACCACAAAAAAGTAGCTCTTAAATAAAAAAATTAAGAGAACTGCAGTATCCTCAGTGTTGTGGTGCAGGAAGAGTAGCATGATAACTAAAAACTCTAAAACAGATGACCAAGAACTCCATTGGTACAAGGTGATTTGCAGAAGTGGTACCATCAGTTTCATTTAACCACTTTTAATTTTGGCCTAGCCTTCTGAGAATGGGAATAAGCTATAGAAGAAAAAAAAATTATCACTCAGTAAAGCACTTGTTTTTTTTTTCCCCACACATCAGCCATGCTCATCAGTAACACAGCCTGTGAAAAGCTGCTGCATCAATCCTGACGTACCTCATGTCTGGCTGCAGTTTCAAGTTGAGTTCACATACTCAGGACTTTTTATCTTAGCTGAAAGTCATGCTGCATTACATATTCCACCTTGTAAAAGCTAGTTTGTACAGAAAACTCCATTGACCAGAGTTGAACAGCTGAGGTTAATTTCCTTAATGGAAGGTTTTTTAACCACTGTTCTGATGCATGTTCAGTTGCTAGCTTTACAACACAGGTCACAACACAAAGTGGCCTAAATGCTTAACCTTGCAAAACTTAATTTGGAAAAAAATTGTAACATAAAGCATATCAAGTTTAAGTGAATGTTTACATTCACGTACAAAAGAGCTACTGGGTTGTATTATGGAGAAGCACACCAGCTTTAGACCATGCTTCAGACATTAGCAACCCATTTGCTTTTGCCAGAGACATTACCAGTTAAACAAGATCAGTTCAGGAATCTGAAATTCTCACTTGCCTAACTTTGTATTAGGAACCTAAAATCATGAATTCGTTAAATTTCCGAGCTCACATTTAAACCCCTAAGTAAATATAAAGCAATTGTATGCAAGTCTCAGAAGTTGTAAATACAGTTGTATCGATAAGAATGCTCTAAGCAGTGTTCCAAAGTACAGAACACTGTCAATCGTGGAAGTTTAAAAGAAATTCAGTAAGGACAAATCTAATAATCTAAGCTACGCCACTTCAAGTGGATCATTTGTGCAATAAAATGTAACAATCATATTTCTTCATATTTGTAACATTAGATAAGACACTGTAGTGATAGTTAATTTAAGCTTTAGAGTCATCTGCCATAATGTGCACTGCAAGTCTAGTACTTGTCCGAAGCTGGCACTGAGTGTGAAAAAGTAACTATTCAAATTACCAACTGTGAAGCTAAATTAATGACACAGTAATATAGACTAGGGTGTATGCTGGACAGGACGTTTTACCCTGATACAAAATATAAGGGACAGACACACAGAATAATGGATCCAATTCTGGACTATTAAGTACTTGACAAAGAGCGCCAGCATTACCACTTTCGTTACGGATCATTCTGCTTCTGGATCACTTTGCTTCAGATAGGTGTGGAACCAGATGAATTAAATAACATAGACAGAAGTCAGACACGGACATATGTGGAATACGCAAAGGTTCTAGAAGAAGGGATGGAAGCTCCTATGGGTAGAAATTAATGTCCAGATGAACAGGGGGAAGAGATGGAAGTGTTAAGAAGTTATAAGAACTTCAAGACTAAATTAGAGATCATCTAATACTAAAAAAATTGCTTATGCACCATCCACAGAATAGACAAAAAAAGAGCATTCAGATAGGAAAGGACAGGGTGGAAGACTGTGGACACCAGACCCAACTATCTCTCGAAGCTGAAATAGAGCCCAAGATTAGCAAATTGCTTCTACAAACATACATAAAAAGGCACAAGACTAATTTTGTCCTCCAGTGGTAACCCCAAGAGGACAATGTTATCAATCAGCTTAATCTTGTAAATTAGCACAGGTTGTGATTTCAACCTGAATATGTCAGGGTGATACTATCTATATAATATTTTCTTTCTCTAAGTAAAGAAATCTTGCGGAAACTATATACAAAAAATGTGTTGAAACAAGATAAAGGCAGCACGTTAGAAAATGCAAAATTTAATATCTCAGTTTATGCATACACATTATCATTAATTTCTTTAGTACAACTGCACATTTTTTCTGCAGTCCTGGCCTCAGCCAGCAAACAAGGAGGATCTGCTATGAAGATGAATCAGAGTTGTGTGAGAACAGCCATTTGACAAGAGGAACCCTGCCTTGTTTGATGCAGAGGTGGAAAGGTACTGAAAAAAAGGCCTTATGGTCTAGGCAAAGAACCTCTACTCAAAGAAACTGGATTTTATCTTCGCCTTTCAACACAGATTCAGTGACATGAAGCCTGTCATTCAGATTAATCATTTTTTTAAAACCACTACACAGGAGCTCTTCAATTTCTGGGCATCCATGATGAAGTTTACTTGGAATCCAACCAGCAGAAATCACGAAAGCATATACCTGCAACTGAAGTCAATGGAGCCATGACTTGAATATATTAGATAAAACTAGGTACTAGGCATCTCAACTTCGGTAATCAACACTAGTAGTAAGTCGTCTGAGTTTTTTGGGTTTTTTTTTTTTTGGTTTTTTTTTTTTTTTTTTGTCCAGAGTTCTTTGAAAACCATTTTAGGCACTGTATCTTGGAAGCTTGAGAGGAAACCGTCTTCACAGTTGGCTTGAATACACACAATACACATATAAGGCTTATGCTGATCATGGTAACACAATGAGGCGGTCAAGGTGAACATGCTAAGCTATCACACAACACAAGACAGCGCGAGACAGTGGTCTCACAATAAAAAAAAATAATCTATTATTAAAGCCACAATAATACTTGTCTGCAAGGGGAATATCATGGTTTTATAGGATATTTCAGAATGATAATGGTTCCCTTTTCCAGTATCAGCATCCTAAGGGTTGTTTTGAATGAGCACAAAGACACTTAAATTAAAACCTCACAGGAATTCAACAAATCCCAAGTGGTAATTAACATGCTGTAATGAGTTCTATAATGACAAAGTAGTCACCTCAATTTACACAGAATGTAGTGAGGCCAAAAAATACTTAAATGACTTCTTGGAGGAACAAATTAAAAAAAAAAAAAAAAATCTAAGCTGTGTTGCAGTCTGAACTGATTTAAAAGATTGTTGTTGCCACAAAGGAAAGGAACACCTTACTCAAATATGACACCTGCTGTGTCCTTCATTGAGCAACCTCAACACACTATCCTGGCATAACACACTTCTGGCTTCTCCATCATTTTGACACTACTCATGCTGGTATCCAGAGATACCAGAGAAATGAGAAAGGGAACAGCAGGGCGAGAAGCACTCTTCTCATCAAAGCAACATATTTCATCAGCTCATGCCATGTTACGCAACTTAGCAATCAAAACCTCATGGAAAAATCTGGAAACAACTCTTGTGTCTCCTGGAATAAGGGATACATGTGATGCCTTTCAAGACTTGGTTAAGAAACCAAGTTCTGAAATCAAACTTTAAAGTTGTACCTGGGAAACAGATGACCAACACGTAACAGGAGGTGGAGTTGAACAGCCTATTTTGAGTACACAGCTCAAATGTCCTGCCCTTCTTGAGCTGTCATCCCTCCAACTAGATTATAAAAGATGAACTAGACCTAACAGCCATGGACAGAGATAACAAGAGATAAAAGATCCAAGAGGTCTTTCCGGGAAAGCAGTGTAACCTCAAAAGGTAAAAATAACACAAAACAGCAAATATTTCAAATAAAAACCTCTCACTCCTCTCTTCTGCCCTGACTCCCTCTGCTGAGACAGGAGGGGCAATTTGAAGTAGTCATGTCTACCAGTAAAGGAAGCCTTTACTGGCTTCCATGCTTTCTACTAACAGCTTAAAACATTCTTGTACCCTCAATCAGAGAGAAGCACATGCTTTACTCCCAGCTCCTAAATTCAAGTTTTCTACCTTGGAACTATGCGGTGACACTTCTACCTGAGACTTGAGCTTTTATGTCTACAGGTTTTGGTATGGTTTGATATACAACTGTTCATAAGACTTTCTCCCTAACAACTTGTTATCACGTGTCTTCCTCAGTGTTTACTCACAATCATGTTTTTATGACAAACAAGATGGAGTTCAGGGACAATTCTCTCAGTCTGCACAATTTTGTTCGGGGTATTTTCTCAACCTTCAATCAAGGAAGACTGACAAAACACTCAGCAGCCTCTCAGGAGTCCCATAAGCAAGAAAAATATTTACAAACACCGATCGTCTGCCTACGGTGCAGCAGCTGGTGCCATGACGCTGGGCTGTTCCCCCAGACTGGAGCCAGCAGGCGCTCCGCAGAGCTGCTGAAGAGGGCACCATACTCTCCTCCCCAGTCTTGAAGGGAGAGGCCCAGCCAGCAAGGCTTAGGCCCCGGCCAACAGCTCACGGCCGCACCCGTGCTGCGCCCGCGCTCCAGGCCAACGCCAAGCCGGGGACCGCGCCAGGCTGAAGGGCAGCGCCGACCGCTCTGCCCTGACCCCGCAGGGCAGAGGCTCCTCAGAGGGAGGAAACGAACGGGGGCACAGA